GTAGTCTATGATTGCTGCACATTATCAAACGTGCCCACTTCGGCCCCTTCGTGGGATTCCCAAGTGGCCTTTCCAGAGGTTTTTTGTGACCTCATTTGATCCTCATTCTCACGGATCTTGTTAATGTCACATTGCCGGACTAGATCAGATCTACAGTTTCAGCGTAGATGCCGCAACTTTGTTGGCCTTCGGACTCATTTTGACCCTGGGCCGTGGCCAATACCGTCCTATTCAGGTCAACACGCACCGTACAAGCTAAACGCACCGCCTGAGGTGGCGGGCTCACCTGTTGAAGAAGAGACGTCGTCACACGAGCAGCTCATGGTGGAGTGCTCCAGCTGTACAGTGCAACAGCCCTGGGATCGCTTGGCAGAAGGCGAGCGGAAAGAGTGGGGATCAAGTATGCGTTGATTGGATACCTGGAGGATTTCCTTACCACCACCGTCACCAGCTCTCAACTCGCCATCCAAGTCCTTTTAGTGCCCTTGGTTCGGGTATTTCAGAATCTCTCCTGCCCTGTGCAGGCGATGGTCTTTGTGCCGAGTGCCTCTCCCAGGCAGACCTTCTCACAGGCACGGGGACACACGACTCCCATGACGTGCTGGTCCAGGAACTATCAAGTTAGGCAGGTGCCGAGTGCCCCTGAACCACTGCCTAAGCGGGGTCTAGAAAAAGCAAGCCTCTCTTTCTCGATGGTGCCAGATTGCCATTCATGGGGATATATATATATATATGTGATTTTGGGTTTTCAGGTGGATTTTGGAATGCGGTTGCTGTACCTATCCTGGCAATTCTTGGAACACATTCACATACCAGTTGCTCCGTGCTTGCATGTGCTTGCCAAGTTGTTGCCACATTGGGATTTTGTTGCGCGGTGATTATGTAAGGATATTGGGTCCTGGATGTATCCATATTTTTCACTAGTTGGATCAATGCCGCAATGCCAAGTGAAGGTCGGCACCCAGCGACCTCAATGCCATTCTTGCCCATGCAGGATTGTCGCATTTGGACGAGGAGACACTTGCGCAGTCCCTGCGGCATCAATTTGAGTGAAGCTGCTTTTGCAGGGCCTGATGGGCACTGCAGAAGTCACGTGACATTCTTTTCCTGCGGAAGCGGTACTAGTTTCTGACCCGATCCATGTTAAAAGCATTTAGAGTTATAATACTGTATATAATATATATATATACACGAATAGCGTAGAAGCGATTGCCGTCGTCCGATCTGTGAAGACTGCTTTTCGAGACATGTTTCTCTTAGTGTTTAATAACATGCAGCTCCCGTGCCTTTTCCTTCGCAAGACCTGTCCAAATACCACAACCTTTTGTTGAGAGGGGGGCCAACCAGCCTACTCAATTTTTTTGAGGCAGCACATGTTCGACACCCTTTTCTTTCTATATAGCACTTAGCCGCACCACAGCCGACCCCCCAGTGCAAATAACTATGGCAACACGGCCACACCATGATGACTGGGATGACATGGGGCACAAAGGGTTAAACCTCAATTGTCGCATACAGGGCACTTTGCCATGCCCCCTTAAGGGAGGCTATGTTAGTTGGCAGTAGCGGTAGCCCTAGTCTATAGCTTCTTGTTTCTAGTAGCACTATAGTCACGATTCAGTGGCAGCACTTGGATCCCCACAAGTCCTCGTCGACGCCGTCCTCGCACCAACTGGGCCTCCGCACGTCGACCCGTCGTCCGGAGACCCGTCTGCACCGCGCCCAAGGTTGGGTGCTGAGAAGGGGGTCTTTGTGGAGGTTGGGTGCTGAGACTGAGACGTGGCTGGCTCCATTGATGGTCCGTGGTCTAACCTGCAGGGATGTTTGGCCCGAAAGGAGGTGGATTGACCATAATTGACATAGCATCCAGTTGAGTCTAGATGGGTTTGGGCTGTGCGCATGCGGAGTTTTAACGTCGCTGGATGCTGTATCCCAGGGTCTCATGTGTCCCGCCTAGTTTCTGGCCAACTCTCTCATAAATGACAGAATGATTTGACTCACATTGCACCTCGGTCATCCTGGTCGATTTTCCTGACTCCTAGACGCCTACAGATGCCTACAGTATCTTTGGAAATAGTTGTGCCAGATCAAACTCGCCAAGAGCGAAGGGCCGGTGGACCCAAAAAGGGCTCCTTCAACAACCAGGCTGTTCGTCCAAGGCCTCGAGTTTGTCCAAGGCCTCGAGTTCGGTGTTCAGGAGCAAGACGGTCTGTTTTTGTTTGAATTATGTCCCTGGTGCTATCCACTTCCTGCCAGGAACATGAGGCAAGCGCCAGTTGCTCCACCTGTGATTCACCCCAGCCGAGTCCCGACGTGGCGAAGCCCGGCCAGGGAGCCCAGCAGCCCAGCTTTTTTGCTTGATTTGACGAGTCAGCGGTGGGAGCTGTGGCAGAGAGAGCGCGAGAGTTCGTTCGTCACGTTTTTTCACGGTTCTCCGGGAGGAATGTCATGTTTTGAGATGCTTTTGAGGTTGGCCGAATCATCTCGCCATGGTCGCATGTCGAACGGTAGACTCTTTGATTCATAAACCCCCCATATGAAGAAGATACTGAAGAATATCTAAATTCAATTGTTTTTTTCCCGAAAGACTTGGTCGAAGGGCTCTTACTAAAGGCACTTGGTCTGACACGTCCGCCACTTCATTTGCAAGAGTTTAGCTCAGGCTTTTAAGCACCATATATTTAAGCCAAAATTTAAGCACTTGTAAAATCTTGCACAGGCTTTAGCACTTGTAAGAGTTTTGCTCAGGCTTTAGCACTAGCACTTGCAAGAGACTTGACCAAGTTTTATATATCATTTGCAGGAGACTTGGCCATGATTTTGTCTTGACGTCTCGAGCATCTTTCAATCAATTGTCTTTAAAGCCGGGGCGGACCAAGCGAGAGAACGCCAGAAGCAACCCTCTCGCAGGATCCGGCCTGTTCAGTGCCCAAAAGTGTAGCGACATGCGAATTCTGCGGTCGTCGAATCAACCGTCTCTCAGGATCGTGCGTGTCAATTGCTTGAACGCGCGGTGAAGTGCAAACTGTGCCGGTGCTTGGGCGACCCTCTTGCAGGATCCGGTGTGCTCTAAACGTGTATATAGGGAAATGTGTATTTGGACCATGCTTGCGAGACCCTCTCGCAGGATCCAGCCTGTCGAGTGTCCAATCATAGCGACGTGCACATTCTGTCGGTTCCGCGTGAAGTGTCTCGCAGGATCCGGCGTGTCGCGTGCCCAAACGTGTAGCGAAGTGCGAATTTGGACAATGCTTGTGCGACCCTCTCGTAGGAGCCGCCGCGCCGAGTACCCAAACATGTAGGGAAATGCGAAATTTGCCGGCGCTGGCGGAACCTTCTCTCAGGATCCAGCGTGTTCAGTGCCGAAATGTGAGGTGAAGTGCGAATTTTGGGGATGTGGGTCTAGTTTTGGTCAAGAGTTTATATCAAGTGCTTGAGTTTTGTAGGGAATGAAAGCCTTGGGCGTGGAGGAAGAATGGGGAAGATCTGTCAGTCTAGCCCATCTTGAGGCACCTCCGTGTGGCGACGCCGTCCGGGAACCTGAAAAAAACATATGGAAAACCCAAGACTTGGAGAGCTGGGGTGCTGAACTCCGGAAGAGCCCCCTTGGACTTGGACCCATTTGTTTGAGCTGCTAGAGTCGGGTATAGCCCGGGCCTGGGTGATGTGGCGAACTTGTTGGTGAGAGATTCATTTGTGTTCCAAAAGGGTTGGTCACTTGAGGCCCTTGCAAGCATGCAAGGCTTGAAAACGGCGGATGATAGATACCCTTGGAACCGGATCCTGGTGAAACCGGCTTGCCCATCCATGTCGGACGGTGCCCTACTCTCCGGAAGTCACGTTGGATTTGGAACGCCCCCTCATGCGCATAACCGCTTTGAGGAGGTTCCTCAAGAGATGCATGACATGGTGGGAGCTAAACCATGACCGAAGACACGACAGATGCAACGTGGGATGAATTCGTGGCTTCCAGGAGTGGATATACGGACATGAGCGGCTACATGTGTTTTTTCACAGTCAACTGCTGAGAAGGAGAACTGTGAAGTTGATCACAAGTCGATGACCCTTTGGGGCGAAAGCTTCTTTGGTCCCCTTGGACACCTCCAGAACAAAGCACAACGGGCTCCATTCGCATCCCGGTCTCGATCCAGGTGCGAAAGTGGACCCACCGAACTGATTTGCTGACTGGCCGGTAGAGAAACGATCGGCGCATCGTTGGGCGGCCGGAAGACCATGAAAGATATGAGTGGTGAAGATAACACACATGCCTTTGCATATATAGACAGATGTAGCTGGTCGGCCGCCAGATGGCCTGTTTGGAATAGATGTCGGACTGTCTCAAGCTTCATTCGTGGATGAAATGACATGCCCGGCCAAATCAACATCCACCAGGAAAGGTGTCAAATCCTTGTAGCAGAACCCTGATAGTAGACACATCGAAAATGTAAATATGCCGAATCCGCTCATTTTATACCCAATGATATGTGAAAAAAACTGGTCCGCTAATCGTTCGCCGACATCCTTGCACCTGGCCAGCTTGGGCTTTGGGACAGCTTGCCATTGGGTTTTGCGAACCCTCGGGGTAAGACCGGTCCAGCTGGCGCGGCGGAACGCACCCCGCACGCCATGTACAGTGTCCCGAGATGCACTCATGCTCGTTGCTGTGCTGCAGCTCAAAATGGGGAGCCTGAGGATTTGGGGCTTGGAAGTGGGCCGTGGTTTGGAACATTATTTGATACTTGTGTATACTTGTGTGAATTAATTGGTGTTAGTTATTGTTGCAGGATGTTAGAGGAGTATGGTAGGCAACCGGCCAGAGTGTGCGAATTGAATCCTTGGAACCAGAAACATTATCTCCAAGCGCAAGGACAGGTAGGGCAGAGCCCAGTAGCGGAGTAGAAATGAACTATAACTACAACCCTAGGACTCCAAGTTGTTCGCTGGGAGGTCGTATACGACCTACCCGTTCGACCGACTACAGCTATCCTACTATCCGCCAGTTGCACAGACGGAGCCTGACTCAGATGCTGCTGGGGCCGGGAAGCCTCAGAGTTGGGTGGGCGAACGAACAGGAAGAAGATGCACAACTTCCCTCAAGAGCCTCTCGAACGACCTGTGTGTGTGTGTGCTTCAACTTGTAACAGTTGTAATACAACATACAAAAATAAATATAGACTAATAACTATGACTATGACTATGACATACAAAAACCTTTATTTGAAGAAATAACATGAAATGGCTATGATTATGTTTGTGTGTTTGTGTGTTGCAGCTAGCTACTGTAGTTGATTTTGTTCATTATCAAACTACTGCACTATATTTATATATAGTTAAGTCCTTTTCTGGAATTCTTAGGGGTAACAGGCCATTGGTTTCTACGAGATCACAAGCTACTTGTACTTATTATGTTGGAAGTTTTGGATTTCATCGATTTGGGTCGGGAATCGTTGACACCACGAGAATGCCAAGTTAGGGAAACACAACAATTAGGTAAACATACCACTTGCAGACGAGCAAAGATCGGTTTGTCCAGAACTTGGGTCCAAAAACGCCTGGCAGCTGGGTGTGCCCAAGGCCATTGCATTCAAGGACACCTATGAATCCACCTTTGACGCTGCGCCTTGGAAAGCAGGACTCGTCGGCAGCCGAGTGTCCCGTTCACACCCCCCGTGCGGCGAGTTCTTCTGCGTGGCAGGCCATGGTCCACCACGAGAAACTCTTCAAGCTTCCGGAGGAGTATGCTGACCTCGAGGATGCATGGGAATCAAGCGACCTGGGACATGCTTGGGACTAGCTTGCTGACCTGAGTGCTGACTCCATCAAACGACCCCTGTTTTATCTATAATAGACGTCTTTGAAAGAGGCTGGGGCGTACCTTAATTGAAATTCAGATGTAGGGACCTGCTGTTGGACGGGAGTACTTCATCAATGTCAAGCCTAAGTGAGCTTCTCTTCTATAAGATGTTTGGAATGCAAGAAGCCCACCCATTTGTTGCCGTTCAAAAGCATTCTGCTCGAAAACGCGGATGCAGCTGTGTTAGCAATACTTCTCAATCTTGGAAAGTCTGAGCCTTCATTTGTTGGGAGGTCATTGGCAAAACGTGTATCGACGGTCATCGGGTGTTTTGTTTAGCTCTCGGCAAACTATCATCACTATATAAGTGGGCAACAAGTGTTATTAAAGTATATAATATATTAAAGTAGTCTGCGGCATGCTCAGTTTGCTTGTCTATCATCAGTATTCGCTTGTGACCGAGATAGGGCCCCCACATAAACGAAATACTTTTGCTTGATGACAATAAGGATCACTAAAGTAGTCTGAACGAATGTGTGAGTTGCTACTAAAGTAGTCTGAACGGGATACTGTGACATGACCTCCTACTTAAATAGTCTAAACGAGATAGGGCCCCCGCAGTCCACATAATAGAGAGTGTGTTCGATTTGTAGTGCCAAACAAATTCCGCCGCAGAAGTATTGACCATCCAAAACCCAACGGTTTTCCTGTAAAATCGTAAGCAACAAGTATTTGTCCATAACCACCTCCTGGTGCAGTCTTCGATCGTGTGTTTGGCATTGTTTGGCATCATTCTTGGCCACAGCCACCCGAAGATGACCCGCCAGGCCACTGCGTCTGGAGAGGTGTCGCAGCAAGGGGACTCAGTCTCGTTTTCGAGACATTTGTGTGTATTCGCATTTGCTTCGGGGGGGGTGCTAGTCTTGATGTCGTGTTCCTTTATTGAAATGTTATCAATTGGGCTTAGTTGAAGGAATGCATCTCTTACTTTTTGAGGTCAGGCTATACCTTGCACCGTGCGCTCGAACAAATGCATTGCTCCCTTAATATTAAGCCTTAACATTCACCTTTCTCAACGTGATGATGCATTATGATACATGATGTATGTAGCAAATGTGTGGGTGAAATATGGTGAACTGAACCTGCGAGACGAGGTCATTACGTTACTTGGTTCACGATTTGTTGTTAAATCAACTACTGTAATTGGAATAGCTTTAGCAAAACCCTTCGACATGGTTTTTGCGACGGATTCATGTCTCCGAATGGATGGATCAACGTTCGGCCAATCCTCAGGTCGCAAACCTCTTTTTCGAAGGGCGCAAAAAGCATGTGTTTGCATCCGCTCAGGTGGGCTTATTGGAACTTCTAGTGATACATAGTATAATGTACCCTGCCTTCGAGGGCCCCCACAAAAACACAATGAATCCTAGAACCCCAGCCGGATGTAGACATTCCTGAAATTTCCAGAACGCCTCCGACCGTGAACAGGCCTCCTTCATCCTCCGACCGAGCAGAGGCCCTTGGATGAGCTCGTTGACCTCAAAAGACCGCCGGAGCAGCAGGAGAATCGACGGACGCGTGGAGTGCGAGACCGGCAGTCCAGAACTCCTGAGGTCCCAGAACGCGGCTACTTGTGGAAAGATCTTCCGGATGTTTGCAAAAAGGGTACAATAGCAAGATAAGGTAATAGATGGTAATAGAAGAGCATAGAAGTATAATTAGACATGCTATTCGCACATTTGACACATGAGATCTTATCGCTACATTTACCTATGTCGGCCATAGGGGGTGGTCTCCAGCAAATAACTCCCCTCAGTCTAGAGTCTAGAGTGCGTGGGAGTGTCACAACCTGTCAACCGACCTTTACCAAAGGCTCTCACGCTCAAACGACAGGACATTGTCGCTTTGCGCAGGGACCGGGAGAAAGAAGCCCTGCAGGTCGCCGGCTGCCGGAGCGGAAGGTCGAAGACATCCCCCCACCGGAACGCACCAGGTTGGTTGGTCTTGTTCACACGAGGGCGTGATTCCTGGAAACCAATTCATAGACAAGAGCTGGTTAAGAGAGGGTTTCTAGGTGGTGCAGTCATCCATCAGCATCGTGCCAGTGCCAACCCTTCATTCTTCACATCTCGCATCTCAGAGAAAAGGACCAGAGGAATGTGAGAGAGGCATCTTGTTACTACAGCTGAAACGATTCCCATAAGGAAGCTTCTAGTTACTATTTTTTTGATGTACCAAAAAAAGACGAGCTTGACTGCTGTCACAGCCACCCCCCGCGTCGTGCCGAGCAGGTGGTCCACCAATGTGCCAAGGCAGCGGCCCATGCAGTGGCCAGTGCCTCTCGTCGTGCCTCCACCGAGCGGGTTTGGAGCCCCGGCTGGGCGGATCTGGGCGGGCCAACGGGGCCTCCTAATCGCTTCGAAGGCTTTGCCAGGTTCTTGGATTAGATGCCTAAAGCTTCCCCAACACCCAAACAAATTTTTGTTCCAACACCGAGCAGCGGTACAAGCCGGGACGAAATCAGCTGAAGATGCTGAAGAACATGTTTGGGTTCGTAATTGCAGCTTCATCATTGCCGGTGGATATCCAGGTTGGACCAGGATGCCCCACCCTTCATTACCCCTTGCATATTATGTTTGGAGATGTTTGGTTTGGAGATGTTTGGAGTATGATGTTTGTTATTCAATCCACATGTCAATGTCAGCATTGTTTATTCCAATTGAACATGATTTGAACGGATGGTTGACAACTCATGACAACTCTATACCAGTTTGGCATTAGATCAACCAGATCGAAGACCTAGTTCCAACCAACCCCCAGATCCCATGCCTTGTTCACACCGGCTGGAGGCCAAGCTGTCCGAGGACAAGAAAGAACTTTGGGACCAAGCATGGGCCCATGCGAGCGCCGGGGTGACCCGAAGCGCTTCCGCTCACCGCGGTCGCGCGACCGGCGGAAACGTGGTGACGTCGGCGGTGCGACACACTGCAGGGAGATGCGGAAGAGTGTAAGAATGCTCCTAGTACGCGATGCCAGGAGCCCCTAGCTTCTTGTTCCTATTTGGGTAAAGAAGGTGGGAAAGTTCACCGTGGACCAAAGAGGTTGCACTTTTCTTGGGGGCTTTGGAATCTAGAAGCGGGGCAATCACGAGTGCCTATTTGTTGCGTTTGTTTTGGAAGAGGATCCGCACGTTTCCCGTCATGGGATCATCAAATGAGAGTTGTTGTTGGCAATTTCTAGACATTTCCAGACGCTTTTCTTCCACCTCACCAAAGGTGGTAAAACTAGTCTTTGGGCACTTTGGGTCCAACATGCTTTCTTTGTGCGCCCCGACGGGCAGCACCTGTACTGATTCCCTTTGAAAACGGCTCCTCACTTACTCTCAAGTGGAAGGTCTCGTGATCCTCAAGCGGTCGCTGCCAGGAACCAAACAGGAGGATCATGAGGCAAACATCCGAAACAAAATCCACAGTGTAAAGATGTGTTTCGAATTAAGCCTTAGAGCTTGATTTTGTCAGAATGCTGCTTGGTTTGGCGTGCCAACAGGGCCGGGGGGGCTGGGAGAGTTGCCTATCAAGAGTCGCTCGGAAAGAAGTTCTATTTGGACATGTGTGGGCACTGGGGGCAACCAATTGGTTAGTCCTTGGAAGCAGAAGATGGCCACTTAGGTACAGGTTTTTGGTTTACCTTTGTTATTACACTATGCTGAGACTCACAGGTGCTAACCGCAATCGCCAAGAAAGACATAGGTCCTACGGTCCTACCATGCCCTACCAGCACCTTCCACACGGCCGTTGACAGGTCTATATGGATGCCAGCGGGTCCATGCGTTCGGTTTGCGGGTCCAGTGGATTCTCCTTCACAGCTTCCCGAGGTTCCTTTGCTGATCCAATGGCGAGAGGCCGTAAAGGGGCGGAAGGGGCGAGGGGGCTGAGGGTCAAGGTCAAGGTCAAGAACCTGGATGACTGAGGGACCCACAAGCGTAGTCTAGCCCACACTCTTTTGTCCATTGATGGTAGCTCCCCAAAAAGGAGCCATGGGTGCCCTACGAGGCCTTATGTCAGCTTCACTTCCGACGGCAGGGGGGTCTTGTAGAGGTCCCAAGAGGTTTTGTATGGTTTTGTGATACAAGATGCGCAGGAGCAGGATAAGAACCAACAAAACTTGCTTTTATATACATGTTCTTGATTATTGCCAACTTTTGTTGTGTTTTGTTTTCGTATGTGATTAAGGGGGCATGTAACAAGGGCGGGTGTTCTTAGCAAGCCAGCAACAGGCAGGTGCCTCCCTTGTTGTCACCTTGTCTCCCAGCTCTCACAGGTTTAATCCAGACAAGACCATTTTCGGACATGGATAGTCAAAACCGATGTACCACATTCTTGGTTCTTCAAAGTGACCTTTTGACATCCTGGTTTGAGGTCACTTAGGCCTGTAACAGGTCACTTGCGGACTCCAAAAAGGTCACTTTGAAGAAGCTGCTTGCAATATATACATTGCAATAACATGGGTTGGGCAGTGATGCATCAGGATGTGTGCCAATTGGAGGTCGACGGTCGACTTTTGGGCCGCCAAAGCGGAGGGACCCGAGACTTCTTCGCAGGAGAAGCAAATTCCTTGTTTGAGGTCCATAGATATTGTAAGTTAAACGTAGTTCAATAATTTAGCGGTCACGCACCTCAGAGAGGCTCAACGTTTGTCCTCAGAACTCCTTTGGCTCAACTCGCAAAGACCTTTGTTGGCGAACCCACTTGTTGAGCCAGGAGTTCTGAGCCCCCTTGGATACCAACCGCACACCACATACTGTCAGTCATACCGTCAAGACTCCTGAAACCGTCCGTTTTTGACCTTCCGCGGGACGTCCGCGGGAAGCTGACGTCAGGAAGCTGTGCACGGGAACTTGTTAGTGGACTTCTCAGAGGCGGAGTCTAGCGGACTCCCGGTGTCGACATGGCGGAAGGGCCAAGCAGCAACACCGCAACACTCGGATGAGTTCAATTGGCTCCAAGAAATGACTTCGGCACCAGATTTTTCAACCAAGGTGCCTTAGATCGAACCCGAGATCGAACCTGGCTTTTTGTGTACAAAATTGTAAAGAACAAGAATCGGTTGCAAAACAATGCAAAACATGTGGCGCGATGAAATGACATATGTCCAAAGTAAGGCTCTTAGATTGTAGGATGTGTTATTTGTTTGCTGTCCAGAAAAGTCGGCTACACCACTGCATTTGGACCCTGCTTAGCCAGATAAATGCAGTGATGTGGTATTGTATAGGCGGATATACATGTTATACATGTTCTGAACATTTCTTTATAGAAGTTTCATTTACAGTAGTAGATCTTCCTGAATCTATCATAAGAACGGTGGTTGGTAGAGGTGTCAACCGTTGCCATCTCTCCACCACCAGAGGCGGCTGCGCCGCAGTCATCTGTCGGGCTCGCTCAGCGGAAGCGGGAGATGCAGGTGGAGGCCGAGATGCGAAGGGAGGGTGCTTGGGTGATGCCAAACATTGAAACTGCCAGAAGGATCCAGAAAGGGAAAAGAGCTTGGGAATGCTTGGGAAGATGATTGAATTCCTTTGACACTTGGGGTGTTCTGACCAGCTTTCTTTGTAAGTGTTTGGGAGACATCTGACTGGGAGTGAGGTTCATCATGGCATGATTTGTGGATTTGGGGCTTTGATTCGATCCTCCAGGGTGTGATTTTGAAACGAGGTGATCGGGTGGTGGACCACAGTTGATTAACCACCACACCCGCAACGACGGATCTGATCCATCGGTTCGTTGGCTTGATTCGCCATCAGACTCAGAGTGCAGGGCTGCCGCCTCTTCCTCAACTTGGTCAGCCATGTCCTGGCGCCTACATAGCGCGGACACCACCGATCCCCACCCCGCCATCTTGCTTGAACCCCTTGAGTCCTGCGCATAAGCACCTCAAGAGCCCTGCACACAAGTGACAGAGAAGACGAATGAGGTAAAGAGGTAAACACAAAAAAACAAAGGAAAGAAGCCTAGAATCATAGAAGGTTTGATTGCACATTGCTCTTGCCGAATGCCAGCTGTCATTCTCCCAAAGCAAAAGAAAGAGAAGCAATCCAAAACAAATCCTTGGCAAAAGTGCATCTCCAGAATTCATATGTGTTTCCATAGTTCTTTTCATGCGTTTGTCCCAGCGCGTATTTCTTTTCATAAAAAAAATGGAAACAAATAGAAACACCACATTTGTGTGAGAGGCTGCGTGAACGTCTCTAAGCCAACGTGACTGAGCCTCCAACGCCTAGTAGCAAAGAATATGATTGACATCTACTGGTGGGGTGGTCTCTCTAGACTATACACGTCACCTTGACATGCTACAACATTTGGGCCCTTTTGACTATTTTTGCTTTCATGCACATGGAAGTGTCATGTCATCCCCCGCCAGAACGGGTGCGGAAATCGTGGAGGTCACTTTCGGAAATCTGTCGCATCCGGACCTGTCATGATCTGCCAGAATGCGCTGGCAGCAGCCAATGCCGCAGCGGAAGATACTTCCCCCTGAGCGATGTTGGGTCGGTCACCGGATGGCAGCGGGCGCATGGCAGCCCTCACGAGGGTCTGACTGACCAGCACTGGATTGTAAAACCAGCACTGACCAGTTAGCTTCCTATTAAAAACAATAAGCTACTAGGAACAAGTGCATCGCTACTAGTAACAGGTGCCACGCTACTAGTAACAGGTGCCACGCTACTAGGAACAAGAAGCTATTAAAAACAATAAGCTGCTAGGAACAAAAACTGTTAGCTTCCCTGTTCCGCATGTGGCCGATCGGTGGAACCGGACCAGTCAGTGAGGACCAGCCACCCTGACAGGTGAACCATGTCTTTGTCCGACGATTCTTGATATTCTTGCACCGCTTTGCGGAGAACATGATGAGGGATTAGACCGCACCCACCACTCATTTGGCCCAGCCATATATGCAAACCATGGATATATAAACATGGAGTAGCACATGGAGTCCAACAGAGATAGGACACCCAGGTTCCCAGCAGAGAGAGAGAGAGAGAGAGAGCATGGAGATGCCGTCTCAGACTTCCACACTTTTTTGTTTGACTTGTTAATTTGACATTTTACATGTTACATCATTTTACCAAACCATACCAAACCTTTCAGTTGTTCTTCATTTCCAGAGTTTGGGCACGTCTAAAGTCTAGAGTTTGCACAAACCTGGTGCAGAGAGAGATCCACACTCGTCATCGTCGTTGGTGATTCCCTCAGCACTGGGATGCGTTCCGGTGACCTTGGCCTTCTGAGCGACGTGGCCTTCCTGAAGCAGATTGATTGATCGAAACTCTGGACGTTCCCGTTCCGGTGTCCAAAATCCCCACTTGGCATGTTGTTGCTATCCAATCACTCATGCTAGGTCCCAGTATGAACTCTTCTAAATTTCTAGAGTCTCCCTGCTGGTTGGACTTTTGGTTGATTTTGCTACCAAAGCGTCTCATGACTCACAACGCACCTATAGTTCATCCAGTTCATTTACTCCAGGCTTTACTCAATTGTTCGGCGACCTGTTTAAAGCCAACAGGTCCAAAGTGCCTGAAATGCAAGCTGCATGAGCTTTCCTGCCTCTCGAATTATACAGCGCCAGTGCTGAACGGTCAGACAAAAACAGCCGCCAACCATGGAGATGTGGAGATCTGTCCTGCTTGGGATGGAAGTTGGCCATTGGTGCTGTGCTACTGGTGGGCTCGGCCAGAAAACCGACCCATAAAAGAACATCTCGGCCTCTTGCTACTAGTAGTAAGAATGCTACTAGTAGCGATGCCCGGGTTCCTAGTAGCTACTTGCTCCTAGAACATCTCGGCCCACGTGGTTTAGACCATGGCCGTTGGTCACCCCAAAGCATCACACATCTAGCACAAGTCGTGGATTGTTTGGATCTCCTGCTGTGGAATTGGTGATTGCTTTCGGATCATTATGGATAAGTTGGAACTTCTGGTGTGCACAGCTGCACACACTACCACAAACACTACCACAGTCAGCAACTCCAGCACCTCAAATACCCAGGGTTCTGAGTTTCACCTGTTCATCTCTTCGTGTCCAGCCCCAGCTGGCTGGAGGTGAATGGAGACTACGGGGTGAACGCTGTAAAACACTATTTTTAGCATCTGGAAACCACCTGAGGTTGATCCCTCCAAGTATTGTATTTTAGATCGGCCATTCACTACAGATTCATCCCAGAGTTGGATTCCTACGGCGATGAAACGTCCGCCTCAAAAAGATATTTGATCCAAGAGACGGGGGTTGGGGTTACAGTCAACATTGGGAACCGTGGAGACCTGAACGACTGGCTGAAGCTTTCCACCAGCTCCACCCCGCTTCTCCTTCGGCTCAGCCTGGTCATGCCGCCCGCCGGCGTGCTCGCACGGGGCGTCGGCCCGGGGGCGCCAGTGGGGGAGTCCCAGGAGGGTTGAGTCCCGTGGGACAGCGATGCAGTGGAATGGGACACGGGGTCATGCGAGATATTAGCGACAAACTTGTCAGTTGATGTTGAAACAAACTTGGACCCACGTTTCAATGTTGATAATAGCGACACGGGGTCACTTGGTCCATGTGTGTCCATAAGTTGAAACAAACTTGACATGGACACACATGGACCAAGTGACCCAGGAAGATCCTGACGTATGTCCGAAGGGTGAGGACTTGGGTTGGTGTTTGCCGTCATTGTGGTTGGGCAATAGGGTCGCTCGCGGTGGTTTTATTAGGTTGCTTTGTTGCAGCTTGTAGCTGATCACTCTGCTTTTGGATCTTTGAAGGGTTCTTTTTGGCCAGAACTGAGCTAAGGCTGTAGGTCGGGCAAGATTTGCCTGCCCGGTCTGCCCGGTAGGCGCACAAAGGGTGCACAAAGCCCCAAAATTCCATTCGACACCCACGGGGTAACATAGGACACCCACATGGCTTAGCCAAGTTGACTGAGACTTACACAAGTGCAAGCATTGATCCTTGGTCCAACCTGAGCCATCAGTGTCCAGCTCCAGAAACATGGCCTTCAACTGCTCAAGCCTTGGCATGTTGCTCATCAAGGTATCAAGGCTAAAGGCGGCTAAGCCATAGGTTTTTGTGATGGTTTTTGGCTAGAATTGTGGCCGACAGAGTCGACTGGGCCGGTCCTTTAAAGATGGCCGCGTACTACCTGGTGAGTAGTGAAGAATACCCTGCAGATGAACCACTGGACTGTAGTTGGTCTTCGGAAAATGGTCGAAACCATTTGTGAACAGTCAGGGTCCATGTTAGTTTGCTTGCGGGGGTGTGGTTGTTTGCGATGCAGATTTGACATTTTGATTTATATAACATTTGCCGAGGGCCTTGTTAGCGGTTCGTGTTTGGGCCCTCTCTTTTGCGGATCCAGGGTGGAGCACAAGCCCGAGAGTCAGTGCGTACTGATCCCATGGTGCTGGTTTGCACCAAGGTCACCTACTGCTTCATATCTCACACATATCCAGTGAATCCAGCAACCATTGATAGCAGCTAGCATTTGACACCCAAAGTTCCCAAGACAATGCCATGTCTAGACCGTAGTGGAAAGGCGCGCTGACTGACTGACGCGTGGCACATGGGAGGCTCACTTTGATGAAGCTTTCCATCGAATACCTGTGGCCGGAACCACCATCGAAGCTCAGGCAGGGAGAAAGCGGGCGAGCCCTGGGATGTTGGTTCAAAACAGGGCAGACCTTGTTGCCCAGAGAGGCGGATGCACCATTGTTTGACTGTGCCTGTGTAAATTACATCCGGACCGAGACATCCCGAAGAATTGCAAGAAGGACATGTACTGTAAACCACTCTATCCTCCAAAAGATCCAAAAGTACTCATTGTGCTTGAACCGAAATGGACCTACTCCTCGGTCAACCTCCGTACCCGCTCCTCCTTTCCGCCTTTCCGCCTGCAGATCCACATCTCGTTGCAGAGCCCCATTGCCGTGATCGCCACCCACCCCTGGGGGTTGCTCGGACTGAAAGGCTGGTGGGGATGCGTAAAAATCATCGCCCCACGCCCGGCCCCACACACCCCAGTCGAACAATCATTTTTCAGACCATTACATGTAAATACGCGTACATGCGTATAATATCATGTGATTATATATATATATTGTTTTCGAACAGATGGACTGCGAATTCTTGGCGTAAACAGCCTTCAGTCCCAGATTAGAAGATGACGTCCCAGGCAACATGGCCACCAGTTCGGGTGTTATTTTTTTTGCAATGTCTTCTTTGTTTTCGAGATGATTTGCGGATCTTATCTTGAAGAACGCCTTTTTGTGAAAAAAATGTTGGTTCATGTTGGTTCCTTTTGCATCCTTTTTCCAATCCTTTTCAACTTGGGATACAGAGCTTGTTACTCCTCCAAGGCCTTTGGGCGGCAGCATGGCGGATCCCCACCCGCGTACGGTGGAGTCCTCAGAAACTGACATCTATACCCCCAGTGAAATGACACAGTCTAACGTTTATAGGTGTGTGAAAAAGTATCCCATGATCATATCCTATATATTTTATATGTGTTAAGTATTTATTCTTATAGATAAAGATCTAGCAAGGCCTTGGAGCCTGGCCCAACTTACTTCAACTTATGGGGTGCTTTGCACGCCACTCGTTACAGCCGTGTTTGGCAGAGGGGGGGAACGCCACGGAGTGGGGCGACCGTTGCTTGGCGACTCTCCCACAGGTCACCACCTCCACCATCCTCCACCCGAAGATGCCTTCAGAAACCTGGAGATTGGTTGGAAGATGCTGGTATAGTATCAAGTATCAACTTTGTTTCAGTTTATTCCTTGGGTGGGTGGTTCTGATTCCAAACAACCTTTCAAGTAGCCACAACAGGTTGGAAACGTCACCCGAGCCAGGTCGTTCTTGGATCCAAGTCCGAGCTCCTTTCAGGCTTTTGGCTCCCTAGGTCTTGCTTGAAGAGTGCATCCAGTATCATCCGGCCAACATCACACGATGATAGCTTTGCTGCTTGGTGCTCTCCTCGCAGTTGCCGAGTCTGCGGTCATGATCCAGAGGAACAGCTATGAAAGCACCAGCTGTGGCGGCCAAGTGGTGCGCACCGAGTATATGGACACCAGCTGCAACCAAAACAGGGACGGAACCTATGGGAAGCTTCTCCTCTCAAGATCGAGCTGGTAATTCTCAACAACTTGTCATTTTTCATGTTGTTCATCATGTTTCATCATTTGTCCACCTGATTTCCTTATCCCCCGCTATACCATTGGACAACAGTTGAATCGCACCATCAAACCAGACATATCCACCAGAAGTCACAACGGGGTGGCTTTTAGTCCCATCCAGTGAGTGGATGTGACAAGGGCACCTACCGGCACCCCGAGCTTTGTGACTCCGACACTTTCCAATGACGGCTTCGGTTGGGACTTGAGGTTTACCTGTATCGGCGACGTTGTGACCTTCCAAGCCTACAACGACTCGGCTTGCACCACTACGTTAAGCTCAAACTCCTCGACTCCTCTCTCCACCTGCAGCGAGAACAACGACAAATATGCCACTTGGATGCATCGACAGGCCCATTTTGCCTGAACTTCGTGTGAGCAAATCGTGAATCGAGTGTCGTACCGAAGGAGTCGGTCGGACTGTCCGAGTGTGGGCGCCCAAGGTCTCTTGTGCAGATGTGACTGTGGCTTGGCACTGTGTCCTTTTTTAAAACCCGAGGGAACCTATGCAAATCATTCGGATGTATACTTATTATAACTAGTATGTATATATATATATATTCATATATGTTTGCATACTGTATATTATGTATATATTCAATATATATACAGACATGGTTATGATGTGGTATATTATGCATATTCAATATATATACAGACATGGTTATGATGTGTTTTGCTGACATTGTTCAAGGGAGTCCTTGTAAAACAAACCTGGAAAGATACATCAACAGTCTAACAGATGTTCATGATTTGAGCAGATTTTGCTGCTCTCCCCCATCCTCGCCTTATCAATAGAGAGAAACCTCAATCACAAGAAGAGCACAGGCCACCAACAGGTTGCGTGTCTTGGCCCACCTGGCCAGAACGAAGGTGGTGAGCATCAACTTCTACTCGACTGGATGCACTTCGGACGCCCTTCAGGGCACCTACACGCTGCCCTTGGGCTGCCGAGCCACCGGAGGCATGGAGAATGGACAGGTGAGAACTATGTCACAGAAAGTGGAAATGAGTGGTGCCAATTTGGTCACCTGGCAGTCTTTACCTGGAGTTTGCTTTTTTCCTTTATTTTTGTCTTTTTGTCTTATGTTCATTATTATTGTTATGTTTTGTGGCAGTATTGGTCACTTTGGAGTTGGGCGTGGGCGGGGTCCAGCTGGATGCCCCTGGATGCTTAACCCTGGAGTAGAATCGAGTATTGAGGCTCAAAGCCGGTGTACTGTATGTACTTGGCGTGATTCTGTGCCTACACAGACATGCCCAACATATGGCAACGGATGCAAAGAGAGCAGATGTATTCGCTAGATCGAAGCCCATGCAGAATCATAGTAGCTGGACATCCCACCAATCAACCGCTTCGCAGGTGGTGAGAGCGCACGCAATATACTGTAATTCTAAGCAACCACAACCACAACTCAGAAAGTGTTTGTGTCATGTAGTTTCCTTCAAGCTCAAAGTCGCACAAATGCGGCGCTTGCTTCAGACCGCACACTGATTTCGACGCTTAGGTCAGCAAGACTTATAGCACCAGTCTCGACTGCACTGGCACCTCTGTTGATGTCCAGCTTCCCTGTGGCTCCACTTGTGTGAATGGCTCCACCAGCGCAGCGCTTCCAGATGGATACTTTGCCTATACCGGCTCTTGTTCAGATGCTTGGCACCTGGAAGACATTAATTTATTGTATAGATATTGCATCATATTACTATAATATATATAGTTATATATATATATATGTACGCATATGTACAGCCTTTTGGTGACCAACATGAACAATAGAACTAGCCTGTCCGCAAGACTTTGGGTCTTGAGAAGGTCCATTTCTCATGACTGAGCCGTCAAATGAGCATGTCTACGTCCAATAGTGTAAGTCGTGGAACTGGTTCTCACTTAGATGCTTTGAGCGGCACTGATGACTGATGCTGTCAAAGGTCCCTAAGGTCCCTCCACTTCTTGTGTGCATTGTGCACGAGGCAATCCCGCCTTCTGCCCTGTTGCTCCGGACTGTGACGTGTAGGGCCGACTGTTGATCACATCTCTTTTTACCAGAGTCCAAGCTGCGAGTGTTTCCCATTCAAATTGTTCCCCTTAGTGTTGGGGCATCCATCCGAGTCAGGCCACTTCTCAGCCGACTGAGGATGGCAGTCTCAGCGGCACATCACAAGTTGGAGCTCCTGTGATGGCCCTCACGGCAGGCTACTTGGCCTGGCAAGCCTAGGCGGGATGACGCCCCGATGGCCGCTGGGGCGCGATGGCCGGGAGGCCAATTGTTTAATTCAGGGCAGGGGAGGATCTATGAATCTTTCCTGGACACCTGGCAGATTTCAAAGTTTCAAGCTGATGCAAGATCCTGTTTGAAGAATTCGGCCTTACATGCTTGGCCGGGATTGCAGGTGTCTATTTTCGGTTTGAAGGGTTCGACTCAATCCAACCGCAAAGTCTTGAAGCAGAGCGAAGAAAGAGTATTGAATGACGTTGACCCATCCAACACGGTGGTCGCTCAAGAATGACAGCCCAAACCAGAGTGCATAGAAGCAGTCGTCAACTGACCAACCAACCTCACCTTTTTGGTGCCCGCCCATGTCTTGGCTCAGAGACCCAGAATGACTATAGTATACAGTGTTGGTCCTTTTATAAATTATACCATAGTAGGTTAACTGCAACTAAACAGGAAAGACCGTCCTTTATGTATGATCCCGCACCTGCATAGATTGAGCTCCCCATTGGATTGCTTCACCTGCCGCAGGGTAGAGGCAGAGCATGGAACTTTTTTTAGGACGATGCACGTGGCGACAGAGACTTTCAGGATCCTGCCCGAACAATCTATCCTTAGGACTCCAACCACATCCTCAAAAGGTAGTTAGACCCCCAATACCTATCCCAAGCATTTTCTCAGGAACCCTAGGGTATGTATGGATGATAGCTGTAGGCAAACATACCAGCGATTCCGGCTTTGGCCAGGTGTGCCACACGTCCCAGCCTCAACCTCCAGCTGCTCCTTTGGAGAGGTATAGCTAGCTGGTCAGCCACAAGTGTGGGATGTCACAGCATGACATAGCAGTCAGGGTGGATGAACATGCGACCTCAGTTAGAAGTTGTGACATACCAGAGTGCTACAGATCAACCTGGCTGAACTGATCCATTCAGCGCAGGCAGCAATCAAAGAAGTTTTATGCGGATGTTCAACACATTCGTGTCAGGGCTTTTATAAGGCTGCCTAACTAAGAAAGTTGAGGCCAAAGATATGATTTGGACATACCTCTGATGTTACCTGTTCCTGGAGCATGTTCTATTAACATGGACGTCCACGCATTTTCCTTGTGGGCATTTCCCTTGCGCGCAATACAATCAATGTAGCCCCTTGCACATCCAAAATCCAACAACAGAGTGTGCATCATACGACTTACCAACATGCTTGGTTCCCCCCCCGGCCGCCCAGTCCATACGTGCAGTCGTCCGTTCATTGAAACATCGACGGACAACGCCGAACGACGCGGCTGGGCAACGCTGCTGGCGCTCGCGAGCGCGACGCAAAACCGCCCAGGTTTGGCAACGCCGGCTGTAGCACCGTCAGGAGAAGCTACGTCGGGTCTGTGTTCGGAGTCTGTGAGGGGCGTGGAGAGCCACGGGCGCTGCTTTTGTTGCTTCATTGCGCTGCTGGATTGGAAGGCTCACCAGACGTGTGCCGAGCGAGAAAGGAGTAGTCGTTCTAAAGACCTGTTCTGCGATTAATGGAGGGGATTGTTCGCAAGTGTTTGGGATATCTTTTTTTGGCGCCCCAAATTGCCCGGCGCAAGCCATTGCGGAGGACTATTCTCCGCATAGTCATCAGCAACATTCAATATCAAAGGCCAAAGGCCTGGACGGGGACCTGTAAGATGTATATCATGTTCTACGAGAAGTATTATACAAAAACACATATACCTCATATATATATAAGATTATATAAGTACAGTAGTAAGTACAGTATATGTCAAACAAAAGCATCCCGCCGGGTGTGGAATCACACGTGTAGTCGTGCAAATTTTGATTCAAAAGTGCAAGCCCTCTCAGTACTTTTGCTTGTTCGATGATGTTTTTTTTGATGAAATCGATGACAATGTTATGAAAACGATGACAATGTTATGCAACCGACGAGATATAATGTTGTGAAACCGATGACAATGCTATGATACCGAAGATTACTTATTGTGAAATCGATGACTATGTTCTCCATGACATCCACATCCTCATTCCATCACAACCCCCACCCCCACCCCATTTTAATCACACGACTATTCGATGACAATGTTATGAAACCAATGACAATGTTGGCAAACCGATGACAATGTTATGAAAACGATGACGGTATTATGAAAGCGATGACAGTGCTATGAAAACGATTACAATGTTATGAAACCGATAACAATGCTATGAAACCGAAGATAACCTTAGTATTAGTTGTCCACATCAGCCCACCCGTCCTTTCAGGTAGCATCAACTTCAGGAAGCAAGTGCAAACGAACGTCAATATGCCCCATCCCACCTCACCCCAACCCCCCCACCTTTCAGGTAGCATCAACTTCAGGAAGCAAGTGCAAACGAACGTCAATATGCCCCATCCCACCTCACCCCAACCCCCCCACCTTTCACGTAGCATCAGCTTCAGAAAGCAAGTGCAAACGAACGTCAATATGCCTCATCCCACCCCAACCCAACCCCCCACCTTTCACGTAGCATCAACTTCAAAAATCGCAGTAGTCACACGTTCAGTTTTACACCCGTAGGCAAAAACATGTTTCCGCATTTTCTGTTTTTTTGGCAACAGTTTGATGCACAGGCGCGTTGAGGACGTCCAAATCTCTCCGATCCTGTGAGACGGTTTGGTAGAGTCATGCAGACCGTTTCGTCGGAGCGAACGAGCACTCAAAAGGGAACGAAGAAAATCAACTCCGGCGAAATGACACGTTAAAATGTCGGCAACATATTCCGGCAGTGTCGGCCACTTGGACTTATGTTGGATGAGATGTTGTGATTTGGTTGCTATTGGGTAGGTTTTGACAAGTATATATTATATATATATGTATATTTGTATATATATATGGATCATAGATACTTCCAAGGAGCCACGGACTATATTATATATCCTAGTCCTCGGATGGTTTGTGTGCATACTAAGCAGCAGTTTAGGTTTGGTTCCAGGTTGCAATGTATTTATATGTATTTACTGTAGCCGCCCGCCTGCTTCATTCCACTTCCTTAGCAGGACATTTGGGGGGTATCAGATGCAAGCAGGCAGTTCCGGTCATGATATGAGGGTCACCTCGTACCCCAAAAGCTGTCAAATGTCAATAGGCGGCATAATATGGCATAACAGTCATCATAGCTTAAATCTCCTTGTTTCAAGCGGATCAGGTCCCTCATCATGCAGTTTTTGAGGGCAATTTAGAGGGGACTTTTCTTGGCTGTGGCAATGATTAAGCTGTGATTCTTTTCTCGGAAGGACCCAGGCTGACGTACCGTGTAGTAGGGATATGACTGGGACGTGCCCGGATCCACCAAAGAAACACAACCCTGAGGTTTTGAACTATCGTCAACCCTTGAAAAACCGTCTACGTACTTCGATCCAATATGAACACCTTTTCAGCAGCCGCAACATGAGCTGAACATGCTGGGTTTCGGCGAGGTTCAACTTCCGTTCGGGCATCGGCTCTGGCAGCGGTTCCGTGGAAGACGTCAAGCCACTGGGCACGACCAACGCACAGTTCAGGGAGTGGGTGAATGGCGGGGAGCGATGGGAACCAATATGAAACAACAAGGGTTGCTGAGTTGAAAGTGCCCAATCCTGTGAGTGTATAGCGTTGCACTTGCTCCACCACGCCACAGTGATTGATCCAAATGATTGTTTAGAGTCCTTCTGATCACACCCCTTCCTTCCGTTTGCTGTGTGTTCTCGTTCTTCCACATTCCACCCCTACATGTTGCGGAAGGGAAGTGATAGCCAAGCATCCCTAAAGGGTTGGCAGTGTACCTAGCAGGAAGAGCTTCCACTTATACATATGTATATATATATATACACATACCAGGTATAGAATTGTACACGGTCTACACTCACACATCGTCACACTCACACACATTTCCATGATTTGTAAAACCACTCCTTTGTTCCCCTGTCATGTCAAGCTTGGGAGTTTTGCATTGTAAGAGGCATTTTGGTGCATTGAAGGGACCATTCTAACCAGCTGTTTCGCCCATTTGCTTTGCCACTCTTCGTGCTGAGGGCGGTGGCCCGATGGCTGACAAGGCCGCGAGAAGAGGCGAGCTACCACCACTATCGACCAGGTTACCAAGTTCCTGGGACAGGTGGGTACAAGGGTCAAAATCATGGCCCATGGCCCATGGCATCAGCAGCCAGGATGGACACCGCCCTGAGTAGGGCATTATGATCATTTGAGCAAAAATAAGTTAATTATGTTCCCCATCGTATCTTGTGACTTGCATCCTCAGACAGCAGGCCGGTGGTCGCATCGTTGCCTCAAAGGCCGGGTGATTGTTCTTTGGTTGCGAGATATTTCAGAAACTGAAACATATCCAAAACCTACTACTAGGAGCAAGAAGCTGGAGGCCATCGCTATTAGGTTGGAGGCCATCGCTACTAAGGAGCAAGAAGCTACTAGTAGCTCCTGGCATTAGCACTAGGAACAAGAAGAGACATATTCACCCCACCGCATACCGAACCCCAAATGCCGCATGCCTGTCCACCTTTATCTCCTTGATCTCTCCAAAAGCTCGTTGGTTTTTTTCTCTCCAAAAGCAAGCTGTGCCTGAACTCTCCCGAAGATTCTCATCGTGGGCTACAGCTACGGCTCCATCATTGGAGCCGCAGCAGCGGCGGAGATTCCGGAAGCCTTCGGAACGCTCCCCCAGACGGGGTTCGGCGACGTGTGGGACGGAGGAGGGGCTTGCGCACGGTGTCCTGCAAGTGCACCACTTGGTTTGATGTGTTTTGAAGAGAGGTAGACTGGAAGTTGTTTTGGTTCAGGTTACTTGTACTTGTTTTTTTGGACAATTAGGGGCAAGCGCCAGTTGCAATTGCACTGATTGCAGGCAGTTGCGGTATTTGTGCTCAAAAAGGGAGTCATCTCAATAGAATCGAGTGGCTATCAGCGCTTGTGGTCCACACTTCAAACCACCAAGCATACCGGCCAAGCGTATGTGACAAAGTTTGTTTGTGTTGCGTTTGTTTTTACATGTTTTTCACTTCATGACTTCTCTTGCAGTGAACAATGCAGCCAGTTTGCTGGGGATACCATTTTCCGGACCCCCTTTGGATGTGCGTATGTCCAAAACCTTTGTAATTTACATATTACAATATATATATATATATGTCATTTATTGTAAGGGCTCCGCCCGGGTGCCGCCGACCCCTTTTCATCTCAACAGGCCTGCCAGCTGCCGAGGAGCGTTTGAAGGCGGTCCAAAATGCCTAACGTCGCCTTCGGAAGCCCATAAGAAGAGAGGAGGCAGGCTTCGGACAGGCCACAGAGAGGCCGCAACAGGCCTGCCAGCTGCCGAGGAGCGTTTGAAGGCGGTCCAAAATGCCTAACGTTGCCTTCGGAAGCCCATAAGAAAAGAGGAGCCAGGCCTGCCAGCTGCCGAGAAGAGGGCAAGGCTGCGGTGAGGCTCTGGGGAGCGTTTGAAGCCGAGCCAAAATGCCTAACGTTGCCTTCGAAAGCCCATAAGAA